GAGAGAGAGAGAGAGAGGGAGAGGGAGGGAGAGAGAGGGAGAGGGAGGGAGAGAGAGAGGGAGAGAGAGAGAGAGATTGAGATTGAGGATGTGTCAGAGGACATCCCAGGAGAGGAAGGGCAAGTGAAGTGGTGCTGAGGTTACAGAACCTCAAGCATCAAGGAGGTTAATACAGCAGGAGGGACTGAGGAATGGGGAGTAATACAGAGGAAAGCTAGAGAACAGAATTTTCCCCAGTCACCGTGTGTGGGGACTGGGAGAAATGAAGAGTGGCATCTCTAACATGCGTTCCAGCCGGCTGCGCAGGGTGTATGTGAAGAGTGGACTGCAGGGACAGGAGAAGAGGAGGAGAGCCCTGTGGGACACTGCCAGGGTCTGAGCGGAGGGTGCTGATGGAGCGGGTCATGGAGCCCGGCGGGCGGTGGGATGTGGATCTCTTTTAAAGGTAGATCCAGTGGGGTTTTCTGCTGCACTGGGCGGGGACGTGAGAGCAAGGGTAATCAATGTAAAGCACTGTAGTCAAAGGTCATTATGTACTCTTAGGTTAATCACTCAGGTTATTAGCCTATTGCTAAGCGAGTTGTCAGGGACTGACTGCTGGAGAAACGTGTTTTACAGGGGAAGACTGGGATATCAGTGTAGCTCATGCCTAATTTTCAAGCGGAAATGTCAAGGGCAGGAGAAAAAGAAAAAAGTCAGAGAGTGTGGTATCCTGGAATCAAATGAAGAAGATGAAGGAGGATCTGACACACTGCATCCAAAGCCATTGAGTGCCACCACCGTGGGATTCCGTGGTGTGACGTCTTGACTAGTGGTATCAGTGAAGGAATGGGTAGGGCACGCTGCTTGAAGGATTCTGGAGAAAGTAAAAGAGAACTTGGAGGCCATGCATACAGACACATAAAAATAGTTTAATAGAGGGGAAATAATGTGTCACTGGGGAGAGTTTAATGTGTATAGGCACATTGCTTGGGGCAACATAGGGACAGGGAGAATGGGGAAAGTCTGGAGAGGGTTCCTGATGCACACCAATAATCCAGACACAGGAGAAACAGAATTAGAGTCACATCAGAGCACAGACAGCTCACCCACAGTGCACCCAGTGCACAGAGCACCCAGGTGAGGGAGCTTGTCCAGGAGTTTGGTTTTTGTTTTCTCAGTTGTTACAGAGGATGGGGAGAGGGGGAAGAGCAAGAGCCATGAGCGAAAGAATCATGATGGAGTCTTGTAGGACACGTGAGCACGTGAGCGGAATGCAAACGCAGATGGCATGAGCGGCTCGACTGAGCCGGGGACAGAGTTCTCAGAGCCAGGTCTTCAAGGCAAGTGAAGACACCGGTGGGGAAAGGCGGGGACACAGATGTAAAAGACTTGGAATGGAGATACTCTTACCTTGTGTGGGTCATACTGCTTGAGGCTTCCCCCTTCATTAAACTCAGCCAATACATCTTTTATCTTCTTGGAGGAATCTGGAGAGACACAATCCAAATGGAAAACATAGGTAAGCTGCTAATGAAACTCAGGCCTTGCAAATTCTGCCTACCCACAGTATGATGAAGTATCCTACGAGGCCACAGGGAGGGTTGTTCTGTCTGTTCTCACATCCTTTCCTTGTTCCCAGCCTCTGTGTGTGTGTGTGTGTGTGTGTGTGTGTGTATGTCAGAAGTGGGTGTCAGATCCTCTGGAGCTGTCACTACAGATAGTGTAAACCACTTGCTGTGGATGATGGGAACTGAATTTAGGTTCTTAACATCTGCTCTAAACCTTGGGCCATCTCCCCAGCCTCTAGTATTTCTAAAACACCCATGTGATCAGGTCCTGGCTGGATCTGAGAGGATTCCCACTCTCACAGAACCGTCTTCCCTTTCTGTCTTCCTTTTCCCTTGGGTCCGGTCCCTGGTGATCTGATTTACCCAATTCTTTTCACCACTTTCCCAGATTTTTAGTCATACAAAGTATTTCCAGAACTTTCCAGACATACTGTATACTCTCCTGTAGCATCTTTCTCTGCTTTTCACACTTCCCTCAATATCCAGTGTCCTGTCTATAGTCAGCTCCTTGTCAAACCAGCCCATGGGGCAGTTTTTCCCACCCCTGGCTCCAGCATGGCTGGCACACAACTCAGTTACAGCATCATCGTACAGCAGTCTAGTATTTATTACCTGTCTTTTTTGCCCCTTTCTTTGATTTGTGTACTTTAAGAATAAAAATGGACTTACTGAATTTATTTACATTTATTTCTCCTGCTTCCTTTTGACCCCTTCCCTTCCCTCAACGGTTTGATTTGGGGGCCAGAGAATGTTTTTCTTTCTCTAAGTTAAAAAAGAAGAAACCTGGCTTGGAGGATAGCTCAGGACGTGTAGTGCTTGCTATCCTTGGGGGCCTAGGTGTGACCCTGAGAATGTGGATACACCTTTAGAGCAACATCTGAGGATGATCTCTGGTCACCATACACACATGTACTCACATGTATGTTCACCTATGTGAACATATATACACACATACATACATAAACATGCACCCTCCACCCCCCAAAGCACATGAAGGGTGTTGCATTAGACTGGAGTGCAGCAAAAGAAGGAGTTTCTGGGGCCATGGGGAGCCTCTGGTACAACTGAGGAGGTCTGAGGTGCTGTAATAACTACCAGGGCTTCACATGTAAAACCAAGATCTGACATAAAACACATTCTCAGCATGTGTATGAATGTGTAATCATCTAGGTGGAATTTATTTATTTATTTTTTTGAGACAAGGTCTCAAGTATCCTAGGGTTGCTTCTCTAGGCTTGCTTCTAACTCAGTATGTAGCCATGGATGACTTGAATTCTGCTGTCCCAGTGCTGGGCTTACAAGCTTGTACCACTATCTTGGCATTTGAGTAAAAGTTCAAAACATTAAAAACCTTGTTAGCATTCAGGAAAGGAAGGCAGAACAGTCAAGGATCGAGCTAGCTTTGGCTACATAGTGAGTTTGACTTGGTCTGGAATATGTGAGACACTGTCTCAAAATACCCACCAAACCAACCCAACCTAACTCAACTCAACTCAGCTCAATCCAACCCAATCCAACCCAATCCAACCCAATCCAACCCAAACAACATCTTGAGCTGAGTGTGGTAGTTTCATCTGTAATTTCAGGACCTGAGAGGCTGAGGCAGGAGAATCAAGAGTCTTGGGACAACTTGGGCTACATTCAAAGACTCCATCTCAAACAAACAAGCAAACCTTCCACACTTTTCAAAATAACAACGAAGTATATAAACACCCCCCCCTCCCACCCCACCCCCCCTCCCACACCCCCCCCCCCCAAAAAAAAGAAGAAAAGCATTTCATCAATTCAGCGGGAAGCACTGGCGAGCAAGGCTCTGCCCTTGGTGCTGAAACATTGTACTGAGGCGAGGCAGTTTCTTCCAGCTTTGCATGACACTCTGTTCTCTTTGCCTTAATTTTTATTTCCCATCTTGATGGAAAGAACTGAGTATTCATCATGACACAAAAAAATTAACCTCAATTATGTCTTACAAATAACCTGCTTGGTTTTATCTTCTATGGCTGGTCTATCATATTTCTGACAGTGAGAAGTTCCCTCTGGAAGTTGAGTGACCTCTCTTTTCCCCCTCACTGGTCCCCGAAGGTGACATTTGCTCAGAAGGGGAAATGGATACTTAGGATATTCAGGAAGCATGGTGACTTAAAAATTGCACTATCTATAGAAAATAATCCAGAAGGGGCTGGAGAGACAGCTCAGCACTGAAGAGCACTGTCCACATCCAGGCAAAATGCTCATATACACAAGATGAAAGTAAATCTTTAAAGAGATTCAGAAACTACATGAAAATCACTGGTTGCTGCTTTGCAAGAATTTTGTAAAAACCGAGGACAAAAGGAATCAATAATTGTCATAAAAACACATCAAGTGTGCATGTGTGGTTTGCCACAGCAGACCGTGAAAGAAATCAGTGTTTCTATGACCTGTACTTCTGCCTCCAGGAACTGTGGGTAATTAAAAGCTTCTTCAAGCTTCATTATTGCTTCTATTTAAACATCCCAGTGAAGGATGCTCCATGGGCGGCTGTTCTCTATGGTTTTGCTGACTGGGAGTCTGTCAGGCAGAAGTTATAATCACTGCAGGATGGAAGCATTTTGAAATGCTACGCAAAAATGCTGCTGTTGCCTAAAACTGGAAATTTCTTCCTGAAACTCAAAACAGATGTTGAAAAGCTAATAGCTCAGTAAGATCAAGGCAGCAGATGGCAACAGAATGGGTTGCTTCCATTCAGTTCAGAAAGCACTGTGGGTAGTAAAAGGTTTCCAGGCACTGTAAAAAGGCTGGTGGGGAAAGGGTTAAGTAGTGTGGTGGTGCACACTGCTTCCTGTTGAGGACATTTACCTGTGAGTTCTCACAAACCCTCTTCTGGGTGTTTCATATAAATAAGGGGGTACTTCCTCCACTCTACAAACGACAAAGTTAAAACTCATAAAAATCACTTGCCTTTCCCAAGAGCAAGGAGGTTAAGGTATGCTTGGCTCAAGAGTCTCTGTCCTTTCTCCTCGGCACTATTCATTATTGCTTAGCAAATATTGGTTAGCACAAGGTCAAGTGTGATTGCTGTGGTAGCAAGGCTGGTACGAAATGAACAAGAAATAAAGTCAAGCTGAGACTGAGGCTCAGGTGGGGCTGGTTCTGAGCTACCCTGGCATCTGAAGCACCTGAGTAAGATTTTGTTTTTGTTAGCTTTTTTGTTTTTTATTGTTTTTGTTTTTTTGAGATAGATTTTCTCTATGTTACAATCCTGGCTGTCCTAGAACTCACTCTGTGTAGACAGGCTAGACTCTAACTTGCAGAGATTCACCTGCCTCTGACTCTGAAGTACTGGGATCAAAGGCATGCGCTGCCTCTCCTGGCCTGGGTAAAGATTTTAAAGGTGGATATGAAGTCAAAGGACTCTTCCCAGAAGAGACAGAGCGAGTCAAGATGAAGGACTCCCCTAAACACCTAGGAAACGTCACAATCAGAGAGTGCATTGGGACCAGATCTACGGGGTTCTTGAATGCCAATGGAAGCTCATTGGTTCAAAACTGTTACAGATGTTTTGAATGGTGGAGCAACCAGCCCAGACTCTATTTTCCAAAGTCCACTCTGGAACCTGAAGGGAGCCGAGAAGTAGGCCAGAGTGCAGTCACCCTCCCGGCACATTTTCATTATGGCACAAGCAGCTGTGTATGATCTTGCTTTCGACTCGGCTAAAGTGCCCAGATCTAAACAATGAGAAGTAGATAGCTTACTGTGCCTTCTGTAAGGACAGTATAAACTCAGTATTTTAGTTGGGAATCAAGGGTTAATTTCAATAGAACCCATACTCTTTGATATCATTCCCACATTAAAAAACTCCCAAGTTCAACTTAGCAGAAGTATTTTGACCCTGAAGTGTTATGGTTCTATTTTCAAAACCTGCTGTGATATTTATATATATATATATACATATATACATACATACTTATCAAAATTCACACTTAGCAAGATCTTAAAAAGAAAAATGAAGCCAGGTGTGGTGGCATACATCTTTAGTCCCAGCACTCAGAAGACAGAGGCAGGCAGATCTAGAGAGTGAGTTCTGGGACAGCCAGGCCTACACAAAGAAACTCCATCTCGAAAAAACCACCACCAAAAAAACAATTGAGAAAGCCATCTAAGATATTAATCAAATCCCAAGATTACATGAAAATAAATCTCTTGAACCATCCAAACTATTTATGACTAATCTCCCATTAGAACCTTCCTTCTCACAAATGATTTCACTTTTCCCTATGGGGACTTGTCAGCTTTTTATTGCTGTTGTAAAGACCATGACCAAATGCAACTTGGAGAGGGAAGGGTTCGTTATTTGGTTTACACATCCCGATCAGTCATACCTTATCATTAAAGAAAGTCAGGGCTAAATGTCAAAGCAAGAATTCTGGAGGCAGGAACTGAAGCAGAGGGGACTGAGGGGTGCTGCTTAATGGCTTGCTCCCCATGGCTTGCTCAGTTTGCTTTCTTATAGCACCCAGGGTCATCAGCCCAGGGACGCTGGGCCCTTTCCCATCAATCACTAATCAAGGCTGCATCACAGACTTGCCTACAGATATAATCTGATAGAGACATTTTTCTCAGTTGAGGTTCCCCCTTTGCAGATGACCCTAGCTTGTGTCAAGCTGACATAAAATTAGCCAGGACAGGGCTTTTATAGACACACTGCAACACTTCTTAAAAAGAGAACAATCCAATTCTCAAATGTGGGGGTTCATTACTTTCTCTTGATGTCATCTGACACTTTCTGGCCATTGCTTCTCAGGAGATTTCTCTTTCCATGAGGAAGGAGTGGTTACAGCAAGCAAGAGGCTTCCTTGAAACAACCCTTGTCTTATTTCAGCCATTATTGTGGGCCTAGGAGTGTAATCTCAGCGGAGACCTCCCTTCCCAAACCATGT